TTGAAGTTAAGTGGGATTTTTATTGTTTTCAATGGAATGACAAAAGTTAGTGATAGAAGGGAATGCCCACAGAGCACAGGTGTCAAACACAAGGCCCGCTGGCTGAATCCGACCCTCCAGGCCATTTCATGTGGTCCTTGCACCTCCTGCAGGTACCCCCTTGTCTCCGCCCTCACCTTGTCTTAGCAGTCAGCAGCAAAGAGGAGAATAGAACTCCTCTACCAAATCTTGCACCTCTCAGTGCAGTTGCAGTACCCCCTCATTTCTGCCTCCCCTGGTCTCAGCACTCAGCAGACTCTGGTAACTGACTCCACTCCTCCTCTGGTCCTTCTCCAGACCCTGCCCTTTCTGCTTTCCAGCTCTGCCCAGAAAAGGGGGTACACGGTGATGTTAGGCAGGGTGTGGGATTCTTGACTTCTGATGTAATGGGGGGTGGGGTGCTCTGGACATCTAGTCTTACAGATACAACTGGCCCTTTGAGGGCAACCATAATGACAATAAGGCCCATGATGAAATGGAGTTTGACACCCCTGCCATAGAGTATAATGGGAAGCAAAATATAAACTCATTTGCAGACAAATCTGAGAAACACAGCATTTTCACCTTTACCACAGGTGTTCCCCAAGTAGAGTAGCAGATTGTAAGAATACAATTATTTGGAATTAAAGCTGTTTTCTGTGGAATGACACAAAGGAATGCCCATAGAATATAATGGGAAGCAAAGTAGGAATTTATTTGCCAAAAAAAAATCTGTCACGTAGCAAACTAACCTTTACCACAGGTGTTCTCCAATTAGAGCAGCAGATTGTAAAATGTAAATCATTTGGGATTATAGCTGTTTTCCATGGAATGATAGATAAATGACACAAAGGAATGCCCATAGAGTATAATGGGAAGCAAAATGTGACCTGGAGTCAGAACCATTAGACATATCACATACATCCTTAGCAGACATATTTTCTAAATTCAGTGGTGATGTTAAAAATTGAGATAAAGTGGGATTATTACTGTTTTCTATGGAATGACAAAAGTGAAATACAGAAGAGAATGCCCATAGAGTATAATGGGAAGCAAAATATAAACTCATTTGTAGACAAATTTGAGTAACACAGTAATTTAAAGCGGAGCTCCATTCCCCATAATCAATTTTTTTTAAATTCCCTTGTGATTGTTGTTACTTGTACATTTATAGAAGAATACTGTTAGGACAGTATTCGTGCTGGTTAGCTTAAAATCTTTAAAAATGTACCTGATCTCAGACGCAGGCAGGTGGCCATTTATGATGTGGGCATCTGAGGCCCACTTGTGTCTTTTTCCGGGATTCGGTGCAGCTGGCTACCCAGCATGCACCTCCCGATCTTGAGCCTGCGCAGTACTGACACTGCGCAGCGTATTGTGTTTAGTGCAGGTTGCCGTAGCAATGGTGGCGTCACGGAAGTTCCCACCCTGTTGCTATGGCAACCGGTCAATCATATTACATTATTAGGCTTCCCAAAGACTCCTGGGGTAGATGACGCTGATATCCCAGGAGTCAATGGGAATCGCCTAATGACGTCATTGCCTAGACGGACAAGACAGGAAGTGCCGTCCGAAGAATTATAATAAAGGTATTTAGAAACAAACAAACAAAAAAATTATTTCCATTTCACACTGTACATTGGAGGGGCAATTTAAATATTTGAAGTTTAAAAAAAGACTGGAACTCTGCTTTAACCTTTACCACAGGTGTTCCCCAAGCAGACTGTAAAATTGAAATCATTTGGGATTTATAGCTGTTTTCTATGGAACGACAAAGGTGAATGACAAAAGAGAATGTCCTTAGGGTATAAGGAAAGGTAAGATGTGACTTGGTGTCAAAACCATTCAACATTCCAAATAAATCGTTAGCAGACATACTCTCCATATTCAGTGGTGATTTTTAACCACTTCCCTACAGGGCACTTTTACCCCCTTCCTGCTCAGGCCAATTTTCAGCTCTCAGCGCTCTAGTACTTTGAATGACAATTACGCAGTCATGCAACTCTGTTCCCAAACCTAATTTTTATCATTTTTTTTGAGACAGATAGAGCTTTCTTTTGGTGGTATTTAATCACCACTGGGTTTTTTATTTTTTGATAAACAAATTAAGACAGAATTTTGAAAAAAAAATGTTTTTCTTAGTTTCTGTTATAAAAAGTTGTAAATAAGTAATTTTTCTCCTTCGCTGATGTGTGCTGATGAGGCTGCACTGATGGGCACTGATAGGCAACACTGATAGATGACACTGATGGGTATTGACAGGCATCATTGATGGGCACTGAAAAGGTGGCACTGACTGGCACTGATAGGTGTCACTGATGGGTACTGATAGACTGCACTGATGAAGAGGCACTGATAGGCGACACTGATGCGTATTGACAGACATCACTGATGGGCACTGAAAGGCAGCACTGATATGTGGCACTGATAGGTGGCAGTGATTGGCACTGATAGGCGGAACTGACTGGCACTGATAGATGGCACTAATTGGCACTGACGGGTATTGATAGGCATCATTAATGGGCACTGAAAGGCAACTCTGATGTGCACTGATATGTGGCATTGATGGGCACTGAAAGGCAGCACTGATGGGACTGCACTGACAATCAGGATTGGAGACAGCTGATCCCATGGTAGAGCCTACGTCATTGGTTCTTTACTGCAATCGGTGATCCGCTGTATCCCCGATCGCCGCGTTCTGTGTGCTGATGGGCTGCACTGGTAGGCAGCACTGATGGGCACTGATTAATGGCACTGATAGGTGGTACTGATGGGTATTGACAGACATCATTTATGGGCACTGAAAGGCAGCACTGATAAGTGGCACTGATAGACGACACTGACTAGAACCCATCAACCATGACAGAACGTAGGAGCAGCACCACAGAGGAGACATCAACTTATGCGGCTGTTGCTCCCTACTACATTGCACTCTGTTTGATGCTCTGGGATGGTGGGTCAGCAAGCCCTGTGATCTACCAGTCACCTGGCCAAGATCTACAGGTTGATCATGATCTACTGGTTGCTGACCTCCACATTATACTCTATGGGCATTCCCTTCTGTCATTCACTTTTGTCATTCCATAGAAAACAATGATAATCCCATTTCATCTCAATGCTAAGGATGTATGTGATATGTCTAATGATTCCGACTCCAGATCACATTTTGCTTCCCATTATACTCTATGGGCATTCCTTTGTGTCTTTTATCTGTCATTCCATAGAAAACAGTTATAATCCCAAAGAATTTCAATTTTACAATCTGCTGCTCTACTTGGGGAACACCTGTGGGAAAGGTGAAATTGCAGTTTCTCAGATTTGCCTGCAAATGAGTTTCTATTTTGTTTTCCATGATTCTCTATGGGCATTCCCTCCTGTTCCATTATTGTCTATGGTCATTCCCTCCTGTTCCAATATTGTCTATGGGCATTCCCTCCTGTTCCATTATTGTCTATGGGCATTCCCTCCTTTATGCCCTTCTGTTCCATTATTCTCTATGGGCATTTCCTCCTGTTCCATTATTGTGTATGGGCATTTCACTGCCCTGGTAAAGTCTATGGGCATTTCACTGCCCCGGTAAAGTCTATGGGCATTTCACTGCCCTGCTAAAGTCTATGGGCATTCCGCTGCCCTGGTAAAGTCTATGGGCATTTCGCTGCCCTGGTAAAGTCTATGTGCATTCCACTGCCCTGGTAAAGTCTATGTGCATTCCACTGCCCTGGTAAAGTCTATGTGCATTCCGCTGCCCTGGTAAAGTCTATGTGCATTCCGCTGCCCTGGTAAAGTCTATGGGCATTCGCTGCCCTGGTAAAGTCTATGGGCATTCCGCTGCCCTGGTAAAGTCTATGGGCATTCCGCTGCTCTGGTAAAGTCTATGTGCATTCCGTTGCCCTGGTGAAGTCTATGGGCATTTCACTTCCCTGGTAAAGTCTATGGGCATTCCACTGCCCTGGTAAAGTCTATGTGCATTCCGCTGCCCTGGTAAAGTCTATGTGCATTCCGCTGCCCTGGTAAAGTCTATGTGCATTCCACTGCCCTGGTAAAGTCTATGGGCATTCCGCTGCCCTGGTAAAGTCTATGGGCATTCCTGCCCTGGTGAAGTCTATGGGCATTCCGCTGCTCTGGTAAAGTCTATGTGCATTCCGTTGCCCTGGTGAAGTCTATGGGCATTTCACTTCCCTGGTAAAGTCTATGTGCATTCCGTTGCCCTGGTGAAGTCTATGTGCATTCCGCTGCCCTGGTGAAGTCTATGTGCATTCCGCTGCCCTGGTAAAGTCTATGGCATTCCGCTGCCCTGGTGAAGTCTATGTGCATTCCGCTGCCCTGGTAAAGTCTATGGGCATTCCGCTGCCCTGGTAAAGTCTATGGGCATTCCGCTGCCCTGGTAAAGTCTATGTGCATTCCGCTGCCCTGGTAAAGTCTATGGGCATTCCATTGTGCCATTCGTTTTAGTATTTCCCTGAATAGGTCCATGTGTCCAGAGTCCATCCAGGTCCCATAAAGCCCCCCCCCCCAGGGTGACATGTGCAGTCAGTAGGTGCTGATCACGGTGTGAGGTCCCCTGCGATCATTAGCACTCACACATAAACACATTGGTAAATGATTCGGATGGTTTGACCACATGTCGTGTGCGGTGTCAGTGTCGCTCCGCCCATCATCCCGCCCCCTACACACCTTAGAACGAGTGGTGTCCCCGCCCCGCCCTGCCCCGCCCCTTCACTCCGACATCTAAAGACTAGAGCTGACTTTCCGTGCCTGCAGTGCGCGGGTCGTGTATACATGTGGAGCGGACATGGACTATTGATGCCAGCCAGCCCTCCCCTCCGCCTGGCACCTTGGCATCTCCTCTCCATCCCCCGGACTCTGGAATAAGGATCGCTGTTCTCCGGGGAGGGGGGAGGACGCCGCTGTCACATTCCCTGTCTACACCGAGCTGACAGCTGCTATATACATGAACCACACATTCTGCCCCGGACTACAGGATGAATCTGGGGGGTCTGCTAATGTATGTGGGGCTCCTCTATGCGGTTCGTGCTGAGGTGAGTCCGATCATCCGGGATAATCCTGACCAATCATCAGCTTTACCAGAGTCACCAAATACTGTACATTACCATGGCAACCAATCAGAGATGAGATTTCATGAGTGAGTATATGCTGAACTAATGAAAGGTGATTTCTGATTGGCTGTGCACCTTGGCTGTACTGTATGGCCAGCGCTGTCCTGTCTGTAGTGTGGACTGTCCATTATACAGCACACATCAGATGGAAGCAGCTTGGTTTTTGGCTTTACTAAACGTACAAGGATCTGTTTTTGAATGTTTTCACCCAAAATTCACACAGCTTTCACCCAGGATATTAGTAATTGGATCCGATTAGAAAATTGCATAAATCTTGGGTTAAAGTTGTACAAATTTTAGGTAAAGGTATTAATAAATCAGTCCCACAATGTCAGCCCACAAAAGTGTATCATATGTGGTGTTTGTTAGTGTTAGTATTCCTTTTTTTATTATCATTATTATTTTATTAATATAAGTATTATTCTTATTATTATCAGCAATATTATTTTATTAATATAATTATTATCATCAATAAAACTAATATTTAGTTATAATCATTATATTATTAGGATTATTATATTTGTTTAGTATTTTTCTTATATTATTGTTATGTGTTTACTCATTTTACTCTTTTTTTCATTTGTGTTGTATGGATCTGTTAAATCTCCCATCCTTTCATGGACCTCTGTGATATTCTATATGTAAAGGTTGAGATCATGGCACAGATGTTTTCCCCTAAAACTAACCCTGTCCTTCTGCTGGTGATAATGGTGACTTTCTATTAGGTGCCCATTGCAGAATCTGGAAAGCAAAGTCCTTGGTGGACATAGAATAATGACTTCTGGTATAAAGTGCACGCAGAGAAGTGACAGTTCCATAGATCTGTTGTGTGTTGTCTATGATAGGAGTGCAGGGAATGCTGTGCTTGTACATGGGTGAGGTGGGAAGGTGGTTGGCAGTGGGTGCCAGTTGTAGAGGTGACCCGTACAGTCCCAAGTCGTGGCTCTCTGCCTCTCTGCACCTGCCAGGGACTGAGTGTGTTTGCGGAAGTGTGATCACAGCAATGAATGTGCAGCCTCAGGGACAGGGTTCTGAGATGCCTGAGGAGGGCAGGTTACATTACAACACAAATACTCGCCTGGGAGGCAGGGAGAGGACAGGCATGAAGGAGATAGGAAGGCAAAGTTGGAGAGAGTTAAAAAAGAGCAGTGATAAGTATCTTTGATGGGTTCCTTTAGATCAGCCTTTATCCTCCTTTTTATCACATAACTCTTGAAATAACATTCAGGTCTTAGATGAACTCCTAATTATTATTGTTACGTATATCCACAGCTCACAGGAAGGTAGCATGAGCAGCAAGGTTTTGCATAATCATAAATAAATGAATAAGGAATGTGGAATACTTATTGTATTTGGTACATGAGGCTGCCCTACACAACAAAATATCTTCTGTAAAAATAATGAAATGCAACAAATGATGATGATGACCAGGAAAGAAACCTCACATTGGTGGTCAGTAGAAAAGTAGTGCCCCCATACATTGGCGGACAGAAAAGTCCCCATTTACACTGGAGGTCAGTGATGTGCTCTTTTGGTGGTCAACATAGTGCCCCTTGGTGGTCAACATAGTGCCCCTTAGAGTGATGATCAGGGAAGTCTCCATTTACATTGGTGATCAATGAAGTTCCCATTTACATTGGTGGTCAGCATAGTGCCCCTTAGACTGGTGCTCAGTGAAGTCTCCTTTTACATTGGTGATTGGTGAAGTTTCCATTTACATGAGTGGTCAGTGAAGTTCCATTTACACATAGAAGTTCCCGTTTACATTGGTGGTCAGCATAGTGCCCTTAGACTGATGATCAGTGAAGTTCCCATTTACATTGGTGGTCGGCGAAGTTCCCATTTACATTGGTGGTCAGCATAGTGCCCCTTAGACTGATGATCAGTGAAGTCCCCTTTTACATTAGTGGTCGGTGAAGTCCCCATTTACATTGGTGGTCAGTGAAGTTTCCATTTACATTGGTGGTCTATGAAGTTCCCATTTACATTGGTGGTCAGTGAAGTTCCCATTTACATTGGTGGTCGGTAAAGTTTCCATTTACATTGGTGGTCGGTGAAGTTCCCATTTACATTGGTGGTCGGTGAAGTTGCCATTTACATTGGTGGTCGGTGAAGTTACCATTTACATTGTGGTCGGTGAAGTTTCCATTTACATTGGTGGTCGGTGAAGTTCCCATTTACTTTTGTGGTTGGTGAAGTTCCCATTTACATTGGTGGTCGGTGAAGTTCCCATTTACATTGGTGGTTGGTGAGGTTCCCATTTACATTGGTGGTCAGTGATGTTCCCATTTACATTGGTGGTCAGTGAAGTTCCCATTTACATTGGTGGTCAGTGAAGTTCCCATTTACATTGGTGGTCAGCATAGTGTCCCTTAGACTGATGATCAGTGAAGTTTTCTTTTACATTGGTGGTCGGTGAGGTTCCCATTTACATTGGTGGTCAGTGAAGATCCCATTTACATTGGCGGTGATATTCTTTATTAAATTGATGGACGCCATAGTGTTTCTTAAGCCGGCCACAGATGGATCAAATCTCGGCCAGTTCAGCAGAGATGGGCCAAGAATCAATCCATCTATGGGCAGGCTGATTGTACCCAAGTCAATCCAATCAATTGATTTGGGTTCAACCAGCCTGTCAGATTTTTAGAATGTGGCTATACCTGCTAGCAGTGATCATTGTGTTCTCCCAGCAGGGACGGCTCCCAGCCAGGAGAACACAATAGCCCTACGGGAGCGATTCCCCCATCAACACTAACTGTGTTGATGGGGGAATCAAGCAATTTTTTTTTCTGAAACCTGAGGTTGCAGGAAAGAAAATCGCATGATCTGTGGCTTGCCTTACACTGGTGATCAGTAAAGTTCCCATTTACATTGGTGATTAGTGGAGTTTCCCTTGGTCAGTGAAGTGTTTTGTTAGATTAGTGGTCAGAGAAGAAGAACCCCCTTAGTTTGGTGGGCAGTGAAGAAGGGCCCCACTACATTAGTGGCCACTGTAGCACTCTTTACAGTGAACTGTTCTGTTACAATGCTAGTCGATGAAGTGCACTGTTACATTGGTGTTCAGCGTAGTACCCTTCCAAGGGTGGTCAGTGAAGTCCCCGTTTATATTGGTAATCAGTGAGGTTTCTCTAACAATGGTGCGTGATGAAGTGGTTTATTACAGTGACTCCGTGAAGAAGAGTCTGCTTAGATTGGTTGGCAGTGAAGAAGGTCCCCATTACACTGGTGCAGTACCCCTTACATTGGTGGTCAGGAAGAAAAATGCTCCTTACATTGCTGCTCAGTCAAGTGCTTTGTTACATTGGTGTTCAGTTGAGAAGGGTCCCTTAGTTTGCAGGTCAGTGGAGAAGGGCACCGTTAGATTGGTGGGAAGTGGAGAAGGGCCTCATTACACTGATGTCCATTGAGAAAAATGCACCTTAGATTGGTGATCGTTGAAATTCTCTGGTACATTGCTGGTCAGCGAAGTGCTCTGGTACACTGGTGGTCACTGAAGTGCTCTGGTACATTGCTGGTCAGTGTAATGCTCTGGTACATTGCTGGTCAGTGAAGTGCTCTGGTACATTGCTGGTCAGTGAAATGCTCTGGTACATTGCTGGTCAGTGAAATGCTCTGGTACATTGCTGGTCAGTGAAATGTTCTGGTACATTGCTGGCCAGTGAAGTGCTCTGGTACATTGCTGGCCAGTGAAGTGCTCTGGTACATTGCTGGTCAGTGAAGTGCTCTGGTACATTGCTGGTCAGTGAAGTGCTCTGGTAGATTGCTGGTCAGTGAAATGTTCTGGTATACTGGTGGTCAGTGAAATGTTCTGGTACATTGCTGGTCAGTGAAATCTTCTGGTACATTGCTGGTCAGTGAAGTGCTCTGGTACATTGCTGGTCAGTGAAATGCTCTGGTACATTGCTGGTCAGTGAAGTGCTCTGGTAGATTGCTGGTCAGTGAAGTGCTCTGGTACATTGCTGGTCAGTGAAATGTTCTGGTACATTGCTGGTCAGTGAAGTGCTCTGGTACATTGGTGGTCAGTGAAATGTTTTGGTACATTGCTGGTCAGGGAAATGCTCTGGTACATTGCTGGTCAGTGAAGTGCTCTGGTACATTGCTGGTCAGTGAAATGTTCTGGTACACTGGTGGTCAGTGAAATGTTTTGGTACATTGCTGGTCAGTGAAGTGCTCTGGTACATTGCTGGTCAGTGAAATGCTCTGGTACATTGCTGGTCAGTGAAGTGCTCTGGTACATTGCTGGCCAGTGAAGTGCTCTGGTACATTGCTGGTCAGTGAAGTGCTCTGGTACATTGCTGGTCAGTGAAGTGCTCTGGTACATTGCTGGTCAGTGAAATGTTCTGGTACATTGCTGGTCAGCGAAGTGCTCTGGTACATTGCTGGTCAGTGAAATGTTCTGGTACATTGCTGGTCAGCAAAGTGCTCTGGTACATTGCTGGTCAGTGAAAAGTTCTGGTACATTGCTGGTCAGTGAAATGTTCTGGTATACTGGTGGTCAGTGAAATGTTTTTGGTACATTGCTGGTCAGTGAAGTGCTCTGGTACACTGGTGGTCACTGAAGTGCTCTGGTACATTGCTGGTCAGTGTAATGCTCTGGTACATTGCTGGTCAGTGAAGTGCTCTGGTACATAGCTGGTCAGTGAAGTGCTCTGGTACACTGGTGGTCACTGAAGTGCTCTGGTACATTGCTGGTCAGTGAAATGCTCTGGTACATCGCTGGTCAGTGAAGTGCTCTGGTACATTGGTGGTCAGTGAAATGTTTTGGTACATTGCTGGTCAGTGAAGTGCTCTGGTACATTGCTGGTCAGTGAAGTTCTCTGGTACATTGCTGGTCAGTGAAGTGCTCTGGTACATTGCTGGTCCGTGAAATGCTCTGGTAGATTGCTGGTCAGTGAAATGTTCTGGTACACTGGTGGTCAGTG